TAACAACAAGGCTGTTTTTGATTCCTTTACTCCATAATCATACAACAGATTTTTCAACCAACTCAATTTGCATATAGCAGCTACCATCGACCTGTACTCTGCTTCAGCAGAAGACCTTGATACCGTATGTTGCTTTTTGTATTTCCATGACATTAATGAGTTTCCCAAGAAGATACAATAACCCGTAATGGATCTCCTAGTGTCGGAGCATGCAGCCCAGTCTGCATCACAGTAGCCTTTGAGCTGAAGATCAGGTTTACTCTAAAAAAATAAACCTCGTCCTGGTGATCCTTTCAAATACCTTAAAACGTGATGTGCAGCCTCCATGTGGGGCTGTCTTAGTGATTGTAAAAACTGGTTCAACAATTGCACAACATAGGAGAGATCAGGCCGTGTTATGGTTAGATAGAGTAGTCTTCCTACTAGTCTTCTATACTCACTGGCATCCGAGACATTACTTCCTTCATCCTTACTCAGCTTCAGATTGTGTTGAAGAGGATTGGTTGTTGGTTTGGCACCCAAATAACCAGCATCAGTAAGAACATCCAGAGCATATTTTCTCTGGCAAACAGAAATGCCTTCTGCTGTTCTAGCAATTTCAAGACAAAGAAAATACTTAAGAATCCCCTAGTCCCTCAGCTTAAATTTCTCATTTAACTCCTTCTTGAATTGATCAATATATGATAAATCATGTCCACCAATTATGATATCAACTACATAGACTAATATCATAGTAAAGGAGCAGCCATTTTGTTTGCTAAACATAAAATAATCTACCTTTGATTGCTGAAATCCTTGTGACATAATATAGGAGGTCAGCTTAGTGTTCCACTGTCTAGAGGCTTGTTTAAGCCCATATATTGACTTATTTAACTTGCAAACAAGACGTTCACCACACCCCCTGCTGCTTATACCCCGGAGGCATCATCATGTAGACCTTTTCATGTAATTCACCATGTAAAAAGCATTACCGATGTCCAGCTGATGCAATTCCCAATGTAATTGAGCAGCAACAGCCAACAATGTTTTGACTGTCACCAATTTTGCTACGGGAGAGAAAGTCTCCTCATAGTCTAAGCCTGATAGCTGGGTAAAACCTTTGGCAACGAGGCGAGCTTTCTTTCTCTTTAGAGTGCCATCTGAATGAAGCTTAACCTTATACACCCATTTACAGGCCACTGGCTTCTTACCAGCAGGGAGCTTAACAACATCCAAGTCTGATTTGAAACAAGAGCTTTGTATTCGAGATCCATAGCAAGACACCAATTAGGGTACTTGGAAGCCTCCTCAAAGGTGTGAGGCTCAAACACAGTGGATAAAGCCCAAGGCATAAGTTCTGTGAGCAGAGGACAACTTAGTATAAGCAAAAAGATCTGATATTGGATATTGCTTACCTGATGTAGGACCTTTGCCCATAGAGTCTGATGGAGATGTAAGTGCCTTGGAGGATAGATTACAGTGATAATCCAAGAGGTAGGAAGGTCGTTTAATGGTTCTCTTTGATTTTCGAACAGGGATCAAAGGGGAAGATGAAGGATTCTGATGTAAGGATGGAGGTTGAGGTGAAGATAGAATCTGAGATGAAGATGGAATCTGAGATTGAGGAGTGGGATTATCAGAAGGTGGAATGGATAAAACAACTGGATCCTGGATGGAAGGAGAATTGGGAATATCAGGAAAAGGAAAAGGCTGAGGTGAGAATAAGGACTGATCAGAAGAAGAAGAATTTGTAGAGTTGATTAAAGAGTGTAAGAAAGAAAGATGCTGAAACGGGAAGATGTTTTCATGGAAAATAACATCTCTGGAATGGAAAACTGGATTGATATGAAGGTTATATAATGTATAAGCCTTCATACCATAAGGGTAGCCAATAAAAATGCAAGGTGCTGCTCTAGGATCGAACTTGGATCTGTTTCTTGTCAAAGTAGCAGCATAACACAGACAACCAAACACTCTGAGGTAGGAAATAGAAGGTGCTGAGTGATAGAGTGTTTCATAAGGTGACTTATTATCAAGAACAGAGGTAGGGGTTCTATTTATAAGGTGTGTAGTAGTCAGAATGCAGTTTTCCCAGAATTTATGTGGCAAATTTGCCTGAAATTTGAGTGCTCTAGCGATGTTTAGGATGCGTTGATGCTTCCGTTCAACAATTCTATTTTCCTGTGGAGTTTCAACATAGCTAACTTGATGCAAGATTCCTTTGGAATGATAGAAATCTGTCATTAGAAACTCATCATCATTATCAAACCTCAGTGTTTTTATGTTAGCTTGAAAGTGAGTTTGAATTAACGAATAAAAGTTACGAATAATAGGTCTGGTTTGGGACTTGGTTTGCATCAGATAAGTCCAGGTGACTCTACTATAGTCGTCAACGATGGTGAGAAAGTAATGAGATCCATCTAGAGAAGGTTTGGAGTAAGGGCCCCAAATGTCGCAATGAATGATGTCAAAGGCCTTAGAGGCTTTCGTTTCACTGATGGGAAAAGGAAGTTTATGTTGCTTGGACATAGGGCAAATTGAACAATGTAAGAGTTTATTAAATGTGATGTCAGAAGCATATTTATGAAAGGTGGGCAGCTTTGAAATGGGCACATGACCCAAACAACAATGCCATATATCGATATCACTAGTAACATTACTGATGTTTTGAACATTACAAGAAGTAGCAACAACTTTATTACAATGGAAATTAGAAATATGACTGTAACAAGATATAACAGGCGTATCGAGATCATTGGAATGTTTAACAGAATGTGCACTGAATTGATGAGATTTGGTAAATGACTTGCTTTTGGACTTGAAATATAACTGATGATCAGGAGTTTGAAAAAGATATAATCCATCCGCAAGCTTTCCTATCCCAATCATCCTCCATGTTAAAAGATCATGCACAAAACAAGCATAATGCACAAAAATCAGAAAACAATTATGCTTAAGGACCAAATTGCTGGCAGCTATCAGATTGAAATTAAATGATGGCAGCACTACGACATTAGTTAAGATCAAATCATCTGATAACTTCACATTTCCAACTTTAGTCATAGCAACATGATGTCCATTTGGCAACTTAACAAAAGTCTGTAATGGAGGTTAGATAATTGCTAGAGCAAACTATATGTTCAGATGCACCTGTGTCAATTATCCATTTGATTCCAGCAGCTTTCACATTATGACAAAATTGATTACCTGAAAAACCAGAAGTTTCAGGAATAGATGATGAATTCAATGAAATGTCTGGTGATGTTGAATTTCCAGTAGACAAACGTGCTTGCAATTGAGGAACAAGCATAGCTAAGAGTTGTTGACATTGGTCAGGGGTGAACGGACCCTTCGTCTGTGAAGAGAATGCCTCAGACTTTCTGTCAATGGGAACATGAGTCATTCTACTTGCAATAGGCAGTCTACCTCTTGCATACTTATGACCTGGAGGATATCCTACAAGTTTGTAGCATTTTCCCCTGATGTGTCCTACCAAACCACAATAACTGCACATAGGTTGATCTCTCCTCTGAGGTATACTGTAAGAGTTATACTTCTAATTTATACTTGATCTATTTTTCACTTTTCCAGCACAGGCAGCTGCCTCGAAATTTTGTTGTCTTTTTGCAGCAACATCCTTCTATTTTTCATCTTGTAAAATCAACGCCAATACCTTGTTTAATGAAGGTAATGGATCCATTAACAATACTTGGCTTCTAACAGCAGAAAATTGATCATCAAGCCCTATAAAAAACTGCATAACCTGATCCTCATGTTTATACCCAGTGCTATTAGTATCAGGTCTATAGTTATCCAATTCTTCCCAAAGACCTATGAAACGATTGAAGTAGGAATTAACCGAAGTATTTTCCTGTGAAAATGAAACAATCTGCTTCTTCAATTCATAAATACGA